TGCACGAGGTGCGGGGATGGCGCCTTCCGGCCACGCGGCCGCCGCCGCCGTCCCTGCGGGGGGGTTTTGTTCTGCCGGCGAAGTTAAACCTGGGCACTAAAATCTCTCGATTCGCAATAATGTGAAACCCTGTCGGGTCGCTTTCTAGGGGACTCCGCAGAAGGATGTTGTAATAAAGCCGGACGCCCCAAGCACGCTCCTTCTGGAGAAGCACGCGGACTACATAGCTTCCTACGGAACCAAGAAAGATGACTATGTGAGCATTGCTTTTGTTTTATTACTAGAAGTAATTACTATCTTCACACTGGGTAGAGTTAGGGCTGGGTAGATGCTGGCAAGTGAATTCCTTCTGGCCTGCAGCCTGGACTGAAGTCTAGAAGGAAGGCAGCCTCGTTCATTTTGCCAGGTCTGTGATGAGTTTGGCATGTATTATCTGAGCACAGATTTGAAGATTGTCACTTCAGCTCTAGAATTACTCTGAGACCTGCGGAATGAGCTGCTCTTTGCCTCTTCATCCACAAGGGTGCGCAGGAGTGTAGGTTTGTTCACATGTGGCTCCCTTGCTTTGTTTGCTGTACTGACTCTCGCCTCCACACTGCTGCTGACTTACCGGGTTCCACTAAACACTGCAGCTGGTGTCTGTTTATATAGTTACCAGTGTGGACAATCACTGTTGGATTCTGGCTCCAGCAGGTGAAAAAGGTCAGTGGCTGCTCCTGTCCAAGGAAGTTGTGTTGCAGTTATCTTTACTGGCCACAAGATAACTCAAGCACTTTTGCCTAGGATTGTTTTTCCTCTACTTTGAACATGCAAGTTGTAAGTACTTCATGAAGCAAATAACACTTTTTCAGGTAGTTCAGCTGATGTGAACAATGTGTGTATATGCACAGATGCACACATGTATATGCAGACACAAGCATGCACATATATATGAAAGCGTATATGAAAATTAATTTCCTTTGACACTAGCAGTAACATTCATTAAGTGTCAACTCTTGTTTTTTGGGACCTTTTGGGATGCTAGTCAAGTAGAAGTTTGGGAGCCAAGAAAACTGATGGTCCGATCTGACTTAGTGACTTACTGCTTGATGTTGAGCTGGATTTTTAAACTGGAAAATACAAGGGAGGAAAGAAATGCATTGTGTAGAAATACATGTGTAGAAAAATATGTATGTGTATGTATATATACACATATATGCACATTCACAGCGCATATAACTTGAGTAGTTAAGAAATGCTTTGTCAACTCGTGGACAATACTTGGTCTATTACAGACTGTTTATAGATGTTAAGTAATATATTTTTATTGCTCTAACTTGGTGATGTGTTTATCTGATTAAGAACTAAAATATTGTAACACCTAGGAGTACTGTATGTCGGAGTATTTGAGGATGAGTGGTGTTTACTGGGGGCTGACAGTCATGGATCTCATGGGAGAACTGCACCGAATGAACAAAGAAGAAATTCTGGAATTCATCAAGTCCTGCCAACATGAATGTGGTGGTATAGGTGCCAGCATAGGGCATGATCCTCATCTTCTGTATACACTCAGTGCTGTTCAGGTAAATGGAACAGAGTAGTTGTGAAAACAGCCATTTGTAATAAATGATTTTGTGTTTGCAGGTGTGCCAGCCAGATGCTTAGATTATTAGATACTAATGGCAAAATAATTTTGGTATGTTATATCAAAAACCCTAATGAACAGAACTTTAAAATTCAGCTGTATCATTTTCTAGAAAAAATAAGGGGCGGGAATTTGTCCTTTTAATATTCACTTACTGGTAACTTTGCATATTTGTTAAATTTTCTAAAAGTCTTGAAATACCTATTAGCTATGTGTTTTATGGTAAGTTTCTAGAAAAATACTTTTAGATTTTACAATTTCTGAGCTGAAAGAACTGTATATGCAGAACAAGAATAAAAAATTTTCACACACACGTGCGTATATATATATACACACACACATTATTTTACGTTTTATCTAAATAGTGTATTTACATTTTAATGCTATACAAAAGAAATTCCACAACATTTGGGTTTTGTTGTTTTCCTCAAACCTCTTTTTCTTTTATTTCTTTTAGTCTTTTGGGTAATTTATTTATTTGGTGTATAGTTTTCCCTTGAGAAAATGGAAATATTCTCAGTCTTCTTCACTGTAGCTTCCTCAGTTTACATTTCTTACCTTCTTACTTGAACAATTTCTTCTAAGTTTTTTTTTTTTTTTCCAAAACATAAAGCAATGGAAGAGCAGTGGAAAGCAATAAGCGAAGGCTTACTGCTTCTAAATAATTGCTTGCCTTGTCTCCATTTATTTCTAATCCCATTTTAGGAAAGAAGTATTTAAATGATGTTGTAAATGATTTCATCCTGCTCCAGGAAGTAAGCATTTGGGATTTCAGGTGTTAGGCAGGATAAAGTGATGTTTTCTTGGGTCCATGATGGGTGTTGGCATGTATTATCTGATCTAAAGTTGATGTTTGTCACTACTTTAGCTCTAGAATTACTCTGAGACCCAGAAAACTTAACTTCCTTTAGGCAGTGACCTTTGAGCTTTGCAAATTATACAGCCAGATTCCCTTAAAAAATTCTGATTGGTCAAAAGAATAAATGGAAAATTTAATAAAGAGAAAGGATGCAGTTTGCAGTTCTTAGGTGTTGGAGTTGTATAGTTCTTAGATCTGTACTTGATGTTACTAGGCGTTCTTTTCATGTTAACTGATTACAGTTGTATATTTTCAAAATGGAAAGCTCTCAGCAAGGGCAGATGTAATTTTTGTTGTCTTGAATTTAACCAGCATGCACATTTTTAATTCACAAATACTTTTTGAAGTCCGATCTACAAATACAGAATATTTAATGAGTCCCATTACATCCTCCTTTGAGGACAACTGACTACAATGTGTTCAGCTACACTTTGGTTCAGATATTCTTCTTACACTCTCCCAAGACTTACAATTTTGCTTGCACCTGAAAGAGTCCAACTCTTGTGTTTTCAAAGCCATAGTTGTTATTTTTTTCAATATGGGCACTATAATGTTCAGTAAGGTGTTCAGCTTAAATTGCGTTTTTTCTTTCCGAATTTCCTAATACTGGTAACTGTGATGAGCTGTAGCGCGTTTAGTTTTATTTTAATAAATCTTAACAAATATTAATCACAGTTAAATGAAGCCTTCTGTAAATCCAGGTTTCTGGTTTTCTTGCAACTTACTATGACTTTTTTTCCCCAGATTCTTACCTTGTATGATAGTCTCCATGTTGTTGATGTCAGTAAAATCGTTGAATACATACAGAGCTTGCAAAAAGAAGACGGATCATTTGCTGGAGACAAATGGGGTAATTTTTAGATCTTTAAAATCTGCTAAGATGACGTGTAAGTCTACGAACTGAAGTTTTCTTGCGTGGTCTTTTTGTTTATGTATTGTATGCAAACACTCTATTTCTGAATTACATTAAAAAGATGTTTTGTGAAGGACAGAGTTGTGTTTCATTGCCTTCTAAATGATTTTAGACTTCTGTTCTTGCCTTAAAAATAAACTGGCTCTGAAAGAACAAAGCCTTCTGATGCTTGTAGTTGATGGTACCTTGAGGCACAAATAAAGGCAAGTTTTATTTGCTATTTAATGCAATCAGCTATGATCTTAATCTGTGCAGGCTATGAAAAGCATCTTTAATTGTACAAGAGTGAGATAAAAAAAACTGTTCTTGTGCTCATCAAGTTCTGTTAATACTGATTGTTTGTTTTTCTGTTTTGCACATGAACAAATTCTTTATGAACAAAGAGAGTGTTTTAAGTGTTAGTACACGTATTTAGTCGCTCAAATACTTATTGACATTAAATCCTTAAGCTGTAATAACACCTATTCCATATCACCCGTGTTTTTATTCTGATAGTCAGTCATGGTAGTACATGTATGATACTGTATAGTGGCCGTTAACTCTGTAAAAATGGCAGGAGCTCTTAAGTGTGCAGGAGCTCTTAAGTGTTCATAATTTGCTACATCTGTTGTGTTTAAGTATTGGAACAAACTTGCTGAAAGCACAATGGATTCATGTTATTTTTGACATCAGATACAGTGCAACTGAAAAGTGAGTGCCCCCTGAAGTAGGGCAGAACATAAGTGCACGTTTATTTTATCTGTTGCATTTGTGGATTTCTTGAGCAGAAAAGTTGCATCAGTTTGAAGGAACATTTCATTCGTTCAACGTTTGTAGCTTGTTGCAAGTTTAAATGTTAACTTCAGGTATTAATTGCTTAAAGATTGTATTAGAAGTATATTGGATATGCATATGGATATACTGAGCAGTTCTGCTGCTGCTGTGTTGTTTTTTTTTTTTGGTTTAACATTGAGGTATAGCTGTGCAAGACACCTCTTGCCACTCTAGTCAATTTTTCTGCACTGCATATAATGTTTAAAATTAAATAGCTACTTGTAAATTAGCACTCATTTAATTGCTTTAGATATGCATCTGACCAAATACGAATTCGTAATGAATTACCAGCAGTAAATGTACAGAGCACTTGAGTTGTTCCATGGACTCTTTAAATTATTGAGAATATAATCCAGCAGCAGAAAGGAGAAACAATGTTGAGGCCATATATGTATTTTTTAATATAAAGCCTAGCAATTTAACATTTTGTTCCACACTTTCAGTTGTGGTGTGTATATTATTAAAAACTTCTTTTTTTAATATGATTTGTGTTTTATTGCTTCTACCCCCTCCCTCCCTCTCCTGTCACCAGGAGAAATAGATACAAGGTTTTCCTTCTGCGCTGCAGCAACTCTGGCACTTCTGGTAAGTCCCAAGTCATCACTTGTGCAAATGTAGAATCTTTTCATTGTTTTTGTTGAAGCTGCAGTATTTTATCAGCTGGATAGAATGTAAAATGCCTTAGGTGTTTTTCTGCCTTGCAGGGAAAACTGGATGCTATTGATGTGGGGAAAGCAGTAGAATTTGTTTTGTCCTGTATGAACTTTGATGGAGGATTTGGTTGTAGGCCAGGTTCTGAATCGCATGCAGGACAGGTGAGTCCTTTTTTATATGGAAATGTTTAAAATTATTAAGCATTGCATACAGCCTATGAATGCTTTCAACATATTTCAGTGATGCCCTTCAAAGTACCTTTCCCAGGTGCCTAGTTCAAGTCCCTCAGTTAAAATGAAGGAATAAGTAGATAGGTGTGAAGAGTCTGGGAGAGGCATAGGAGATCAGAGTCTTCGGTGGGGGCAAATCTAAAGGAAAAGTCTATAGGACTCTTTCAGACTGCAGTTGTCACCTGAATAATCTTCAGATAGTGGGGTCAGAATAGGATGAAGATTTTTAGAGAATTTGAAACAGATATTGATGAGGAAATTGTCTTCAAGTGATAGAACTTGTCTGTTTATGTTCACTCATACTTGTTCTTTTGCAGCTCCAAACTCATGTGCACTGATGCTGATGAAATCTATAAAATGTGGAGGTTATTTGTACAATATATTTGATATCAATTAAAATGGAAAACTGTATCTTTTAATTTGATAAATTGTGAGGATGGCTCGCTTAATTTCTTGAGGAAAGCCTTAAGATGACTGTCTCAGACATAGGAGCCTCTAAGGCTTTGTTGTAGTTATTAAAGAATATTGTAGTGACAGCTAATTAAAAAAAAAAAAAAAAAGTTAAAATCTGCCTGAAAAGAGAATATGGCAGTATAATTGAAACAATTGAGGGACCTCTCAAGATAGAGACTCTCAGTTACTGCTTCCAGTAGAAAACATAATCAGCATTCCCATTTTTATTTTCTTTTCCGTGGAAAGGACTATTGCACTTAACTTGAATCTTTGAAAGCAACTTTAACACAAAGTTTTAATGCTTATGCTGAACAGTGTCATAGCCAGGACTCACCTGAACGCATTAAACTAGCAATTATTTTATTGAAATTGTTTTTTTTTTCTCATTTATTCCTTTTTCTTCAGGGAAGAAAAAGAATTGTAAGGCTGTTTTTTGTTCTTTATCTTACAAGTTCTATCTACAGTAATGTATATGCTCTAAATAGCTGGACCATATTCTGGTATCCAAATAAGTCAGATTTAGTGGCTGAACCCACCACAGTTGCCGTTTCCTGGGAGGGCCAGATTTATTGTGCACCTGCTTTCAAGTGCTCTAGAGAGCAACTCCGTTGCCTCTCCTGTAGCTCTCAAGTTTTCTGGGAACGTGACTTTTATTTTGTAGTGTTCTTGAATTGGCATGTCCCTGTCTTAATTGGAGGGGGAAAAAAAAGTTGTGAGCAGGCCTCAGTTGCTAATATGATTTCTTGCCATTCCTTTCTGGCTACTTTGTTGAGAACAGAGTAAGCTGCTGACTAGCTGAAATGTGACTCAGAAGTGCTACTGCACTGGAAACCTTATTCCCAGGAAAAGTAGAAAGGGATTTATTAGTGCACATGTATTATATGCCACAATGAAAGAAAGGCTAACATGACAGTAGGCACACCTGGGGTTGCAAGGAATGTTAATAAGATGTCCAGTCTGCAGGAAGGAGTTTGAGTACTCTGGCCTGAGAGCCTGTGCATGTGTGTTTTGAAGAAAAACGCTCTGCCTGATCTGCTAGGAGTATTTCCAGATTGCACACTCATAGGATATGTTACTCTTCCGTAATTACATTGTGTAACTCACTTTTGGAAAAATAAGGTCAATAGTCTTTTGTAATGGAAAGTAGAACTCAGTTTTCAGCTAAGAGGTGAAATATAGGCTTATTTTGTATTGTATTCGCATTTGTATGCTTTTCTGCTTTGACACATTCCTGCATTTAGTTTGTTAAACTATATTTAGCCTTTAAATACACAAAAATTTATGTCTGTAATTTTAGATCTATTGTTGCACAGGATTTCTGGCTATAACAGACCAGTTGCATCAAATAAATGTTGATTTGCTGGGCTGGTGGCTTTGTGAACGACAGTTACCTTCTGGAGGTCTCAACGGACGACCTGAGAAGGTATGTCGTGGCTTCTCTCTTTTTCTCTCTGTATATATACACGATGTACATTTTTTTCTGAAGTTGAATTTGTGGAAAAATCAGAATCACGTTAAAACGTTTGCAGAGTATTCATAGAATTCAAGCCTTTTCTTGGTTCTTCATTTTGCAACTAGCACTTGTCAGGCATTCTTTAGCTATTCTTAGTTTGACACTTCAGTTTAGGAAAGTACGTGTACTGCATATGTCTTGCTGACCACTTGAACTATGTACCATGTTAAATTGTGACTTGAATATTTTCTGACATGAGGAACAATCTCTTCTGTAGGAGTTGTAGAAAAAATATTCTTACTGGATGCTAATCCTGGGTATAATAGTGTTTCATGTCACAGCAGGAAATCGATGGTCTAGAAAAATTTCCACTAGTGAGTACATAAGCAACCAACTATATAGATAATATATATATTTAAATTTTATTTATTTATTTTTCCCAAGAAAATTGATTGCAGCTACTCATTTGAATACTAACTGATTGGAAAGTCTTTGTCCTTAGTCTTGAAAATGGTACTGTGGATTTTTAGTCTCTCCCGCAGAAGGCGAAAGCTGTTCTCAAGGTTCTTAAGTTTCTGCTTCTTGCTGAACAAAAAAGAGTCATCTAAAAAGAGACTAGGTAGAGGAGCTTTCTTCTCTTTTACTCCAAAATACTCTGCAACCCTATTGTGATAGCACAACTGGTAGTTTGCAGAAATGCTAATAAAATTTGCAGCATACTGTTTAAAACACAAATAACATTCTGCTCTTCTCTTTACCAGTTACCTGACGTGTGTTATTCATGGTGGGTCCTAGCATCTCTGAAAATGATTGGTAGATTACACTGGATTGACAGAGAGAAATTGCGATGCTTTATTTTGGCTTGCCAGGATGAGGAGACTGGAGGATTTGCTGACAGACCAGGAGATATGGTAAATAATTGAAAAATTCAACATTAGTTCAGGATTATGTTTCTCATTTGAGTGTAACTTGTGAATCTGATGTTAGAATTTTTGCAGAGCTGGAGAGCCAGCCATTGAATTTGGGAAAGAATAGGGTAGAGGTGCTTTAGAAGCTTATTTACTGGAGAGCATGTGACATTTTACATATTGGACATACACTACAGTATCCCACATTTAACCCGGTATCCCACATTTAACTTGCTTGCTTTTCCTTACGAACCGTTGTTTTGCTGTTCATAACAATGCATGCCGCATGAATTGTATGTCTCAAGATGCTTAAGCATCTTTTCTTCTTTTTAAACACATGCAAAATTCTAGAGACAACTGCAGGCTAAGCACTCTAACTATCCCGATGCTTTTGCCTGATCTAAATTAGTCATGAGTTACTCTAGAATCCCTGCAGCCCTGTCTTTATTTGTGCTGGTCCAGCCACTGAATGCACCCCGCACCTGTATTTGTCTAGGAGATGGAGGAGGTAAAACCTGTGATCACATTGTGAAAAGGCTGATGGGATGGATTATTTTCTCTGTTTGGAGAACAGTTATGGCCAGCTGCTCTGTTCTCACAGGTTCCAAGCAGAAACAGTTGAGATTGCCCACATAAAATGACAGGGAACGATCACCTTTCAAGGGTGCTGGTGAGATAAAATTAGAAGTATTAGAAGCAATGTATTGATGTTGAAGAGCCAAGGTCGAATTTGTGGAAGTAGTACTTCCTGATGATCAAATTGGCCTCAATGAATTTTGTTATCTTTGCTGCTGCTATAAGGAGACACATGAGTGCTTCTTGTTGAATTCAGCTTCAGAGTCCTTAGAGTTTCACAGAGTTTAAAGTCATCTTAGCAATAAAAAATTTACAAGCATCTCTGAGCAAATTATAGTATTGTAAATGCATGCAGTAGAAATTAAACTTTTGAGTTATATGTGTGACAGTCAAGATCACTGAAAGTTTGTTCAGTTGCAGTGTCTTCTAGAACATAAGTTGTGGGGACTTGCAGGTCTCTTGCTAATGAATATAAGCTTCATTACATACAAATGAAGAGCTGCTTGATTTTTGGACATTTAAAAAAAATCTTCTTTTAACAGGTGGATCCATTTCACACCTTATTTGGAATTGCTGGACTCTCTTTATTAGGGGAAGAACAAATTAAAGCTGTCAATCCTGTCTTTTGTATGCCAGAAGATGTCCTTCAAAGAATAAATGTGCAGCCTGAGCTTGTGAGCTAAGTCTTGTAGAGACAAAAGATTGATATGCCTGGTCACTTTGGTTTTAATCATTGGAAGTCAGCCCTGAAACTGTTAGCATATTTTTCTTTTGGATATGTTTACATTTCTATGCTAAAATGACTGATTTACTGTGGGCTTTGTCATTTTGTAAATTGCAGTAGAACAGGCTTGTTCTAGTAGTCTGTGTGTAACATGTTTTTAGGTTACATATAAAGGATGTAGAATCCTTTTCTGTATCCTAAATATGTGGACCTTCGGAATTTTTCTTTCGAGTATTCAACTAAGTTGCAGTGATAGTATGAATGTCTTAATTTCTGTATTCCTGTGATATCAAACATAGTGGCATCTGTCTATACAAGCATTTCTTGGTGGAGGATCACACAAAGCACTTTAAAAGAATATGAAAAAATCCTGCTTAAGCCACTGCATTTAACGTCACACGGCTGTGTATTTGATTCTTTCTGTTTGTGTTTGCCATCACATTTATATAGTAAGATGCAAGCTTTTTCTTCTAGTAACTGATATCGGTCAAAACAATTTATGGTTTCAATTAAGGATACAAATATGTTGTTATTTATTGATAAAGTATCACTGATACTTGAAATACCTTGAAAAAATATATATATATTTATATATAGTGAAACTTGCTAACGCTATGCATTCTAGAGATCTTTCTCTATAGAACAATGATTAATTGCTGAATACAATTTTGACTTTTAATTTGTTGTTGGGTTGAAAACTTACTCCTATAGCTTCTAAGAAATGAACTGCAGCATTTCATTATTATATAATTGAGAATAAAACTAGCAATGGAAAAAATCTTGTTTTCTGAAGGATAAAGTCCTCTTTCTATTCATTAGAGCCCTAAAAGTGCCTCTGATCTCACATCGCACATATTTTAGACAGAGAGCTAAAAGATATTCTAGTTGAAATACACAGTGAAAATTAATTACAGAGACATCTTTGATAATCTCTGCATTTATGCTTAAAGAAGGTCTACAGTGATTTCAAAAACAATTTTACAAGCAGACTGGTTATTTTTGCTCAACTGATTCATGCTATTAGAAGAGAGGATAACTGGGCAATGTAACTTTTTGGTAGACTTAGAGCAAGTTTCAAAGAGAGTACATATTTGAATGCCCAAACATTCCTTTAAAAAAAAAAAATCAAGCCTAAAGACTTCTAAAGGCTTTCTGATGGGGTCAGAAAACTACTGTAAACTGTCCAGGTGCCTGATAAGTTGTTTGATCAAGGCCTGGCAGAAGGAATTTCTTTTTCAGAATAATTAAAAAAAAAAGACAGAAAAAAGTTATTGTAGTCTTTGTGCTGAGTGGAGAGCACTGCTCAAGTTCTGTATATCCATACACAGTTTTTTTTTTTCCTCGCCCCGCCTTTTTCTATATTGTATGGGCATAACAAAGTTATTTTGAGAATAACTATTCTAGATGAAGACATCCTGGGAATTAATATGTGAGTGATAGTGCATGGCAGCATAGAAAACTGTAAGTTGAAAACCCTATTAATATTACTGGAGTTTTCTCTCTAGATAATTTGGTTATCTTTTCCTAGATCAGCTGTGATTATTAAGATTTGTTTATAAGATCACTAGTTCATAGAATGGAGAGGTATGTAAACTAGTAACTTCAAAAATGTTTTAATTTTTAACATTTTTTCTTAAAAATGTTCTTGTGCTTTTTTTTTTTTTTTTACACAAATTGATCTTTATTAATCTGGAAAAATGTTGATCAGTATACAGATGTTAAAGGATTCAGTTCATTTTGGTGCAGAATGCATTGCTATCATCTACCTCTATTTTGTTAAATGTGTTTTTTGGTAAGATTCTTTGTGTACATACTTAAAATAATTGCAGTGGTTAATCTTTTATTCTAGGTCTTCAATTAAATGTCCTTTATTAAAGATTTTCACGAATTTGTTTCTATAACTTTATTTTCACATGTCAGACTTCGTACAGAAAGATCTTGACATTATCTTAGTACCTGGGATTCTAAGCACTGTAGTATAGCTACTGATCTCAGTTATAAATTCTGCAGAATGTTGTATGATTTGCAAAAGAATAATCAATTTTTTAAATGTTGAGTGTGTAGATATATTTAATAAAAGAAAATGGGAGGGGAGGAGGAAGGCATTTCGACCATGTTCCAAGAACATGGTGAGGGCTGAGGGTTTGTGCTTTACTACTCTGGAGACATACCTAGCAGCTGTGTTGAGACAGCCTCCTTAGAGAGAAGTTTTAATATTTATGACACATGAAAAGAGAAGAAAGGGAGAAAGAAGCATTCCTTTTGTTTCTGCCTTTCTTGCCATACGCTCTTTTCTCCGGAGAAAAGGAGAAGTTACCATGTCAGCTTCAGAAGTGTAACTGCAGATGGAAACTAATGAAGGCACTAGCTCTCTTCTTTCCATCCTCTGCTGCACTCTGATTAATTTGGGCTGTTTAAAATTTTTAATGTTACATATGACAGGTAATTCTCAGTACTGAGGGAAGGTGTCCCTGTCCTGAAGGAGGTGCCTGGGGTGAAGCCTTCAGCTGTCAGATGAGGAGTGAGTGGCACAGACCATGGTCCCTGTGGAGCCTGCAGGTAGAGTGAACATCCTCCAAACTGTTGCTGCCTGCAAGCAGGAGCTTTTCATTCTAGCTTGGCTCTTTTGCAGGGGCAAATGGCAGGAGACAAATACTAGCTAGTCAAAATGTTTTGTTGCTTAGTTGAAAGGCCACATATTCTATTAATACATGCTAATATGCAGAATATCTGCAAGTTCTGCTTATTAACATGTTTTTTGTGTTCTTTTGGTGGCCAGCTGTATATGAAGTTCCTCCTTACAAAGGTCCCTGTATACTGAGTTGGAGGAAGAAAGAGAATGAGACAAATGTTACTTAAATGTGATATTGTCCTCTTAAGAGGACATACGCTTTCTTTGTGTTCATATGCCACTGTTTTATTTCATCTGTATTTACATAATGTAATTAAATGCATGTTTACCACCTACACTTCTCTATAGAGCATTCTATTTCTTGTTTAACAAATGCATTTATAATATGTATGCATCTTCATCAGTTCTTGACAGAGGTGGGCCTCAAATGGACTTCTATATTCAGCAATGGATGAGACCACCTTTCTCCTTTAACTATTTATTATCTGGAGTAAGTAGGGGAAGGTGATATTAAATCTGCTCCTTTAATACTGCCCCTGCAGAGTGGGGCAGTAGCAGGCACTGCTTTGAAAAGGAGGTGCTTCGGTGTAAGATTGCATGTAGGGGTTTTGTTGCAAGGGGAAGGAGAGCTACTGCTGCACTCAGACGTTTGCTTACAGCAGGGTAGGGGAGCGGCCGAGCTGTGGTGCTCGGTAGCAGGGACCGGCCCCGTTCCTGCGCCCGCCCCAGGCACTAGGGGCCGCCTCGCTGTCTCCTGCTGGGTGGGGCGGGGGCAGCTTCTGAGGGGGAGTCGTCGCCTTTCCAAGGCCGCTCCGAGGGGCGCGGCCCAGCTCCCCGTGAGGTCCCGCGCGGCGCGTGGGGGCGGTGCCAGGGCGGAGCCTCGCGCCGGCCGCGCTCCAGCTCCTCCGCGCCGCGGCCGAGGCTGCGTGCGGAGCAGGCGCCCCGCTATACCCTGGGGCTGCTGCAGACTCCGCGCAGCGCTGCCGACAGCGCGGGCGCCTTTTCCAGCGATGAGCTGGCGTGGGGCGGCTCCCGCAAGGGGGACCTCGCCCCTGGCCAGGTCCCCTCCGCTAGCAGGATGAGGCTGCCGATACCGGGAAGAGGAGGTGGGCAGAGGTGTCCCTATCTCGGCCTGCTTGTGTTTCTCTTTTGCCTCCATTTGCCCTTTCTCGTGGGGTTGGGCTGAAAGTCCTTGTGGAGGTGGCAGCAGCACCTATTCACCAATCTCTCGCTTCCTCGGAAGGATGCAAGTGTTTTTGGACCCTCCTAAACACACTTTAACTGTTTTTGGTTACCTAAACTATTTAGAAGTACCTGCTGGTTCATAAAGTGATTTGATTTGCATCCAGATCTTTGCCTTACTAGAATCCCATACCTTTTTTGTTTTGGTCTGAACTTGACTTAGAGTTGTCTTAAGTGCTGTTATCTGTGATGAGTGTTAAGAGTATCATCACGTTCTTACAGTAACGCTGGTACTTTTATATAAAGCCTCCTCCCTCAGCGCACAGAATGTCCTCAGCAGCTTCTGCTGGCTTAGCCTCCATCTTGGCTGGCAAGGGGGAATGATTCATGTTGTATTTTCTAAATGGAACTATAAAAAGAGCAGTATATTGTATCATTTGCTAAAATGCATGATGAAGTAAAAGCATCCCCATTAGACATGGGTTGGGAATAACAGATACATGGCCAGTTGTGAATCCTAAACAAATCAGCATTAACCAAGTATTTGTTGATGGCTATATTTCTCTGGTCTTTAAAATTACCTTTTCCCGCATTTAGGCAGGATTCTGTGAAGTAACACCAAAGTCTTCAGTGGCTGCTCATAGTTGACTATGGGCACTTAGTCAAACAGGAATGACAAAAACTGTTGACTGTATTGTCTGTTTTCCTTGTGAATTCTTGGTCAAAGGCTAGGTTAACCAAACTTCTGCCGAAATCCGAGTCAATGCTACTTAAAAACAATACTTCTGTGTGACGATTCTGGTCTACACTAAAAATACAGAAGTATTAAACTAATGCTGTTTCTTTCAGAGGTCCCTCAGTGCTTTGTAAGATTTTTCTAACCTGTTGTTATCAATATTTTTGTACCAATCATGATAAAATTTCATATAATTTACAAGTCATCTAAGAAGAGTGCAAAAATACTGTGTCACATTGATCAATTTTTAATAAAAAGAATGGAAACATTTAGCTTTGCAGATCTTTTCGTACCAGAAATCTTCTAATTTTTAATGGTAAAAGCTCCATTTAGGCGTTATGTGTTTTTATTCAAATCACCTTTAAAAAGCAGTTATCCAAATTAGATTAGGATGAGAGGTTGGTTTACTTTCATCAAGTGAACTGAAATTCAATAAAAACCTTTAACAATATGTTGAAACTAAAGGACAATCAGAAAAAAATGAAATTCGGCAGAATTTTAAGATACAGGTCATTTTTAAGATGCAGGAATAAGAGAAATTACATATTAAAAACATATTTTGAGTTACTGTATGAGATTCGTGAGTTGGACTCCATGAATTCAAAAGATCATTCTTAGTGGAGGAGCTTTTGAATCTAGCTCTTATTTTCTTCTATTAACTTTTTATAAAAACAGCACCCAGCATCTTAAGAAAAAAAGACTTTCTAAACTTTGAAATTTTTGTAAAGACATTGTGCTATTTCAGATATGGATTTTAAAACTGATGGAGAAATGCAAGATAGAGTCTACATTCTTTCAGAGATGGAGAATTCACGAGAATATGAAATTATGCCTTGTAAACTACCTTCTATCATATTGTTTCAGAACAATAACCTAAATGAGGCTTTCCATAGCCATTGGAAATAGTGTCATTATAGAAAATGACCTGTTGATACAGGCTGATTTTCAAAGCCAGATACTAAAATTTAGTAAGGAAGATCTTTTACTAAGAAAAACAAAGCTTTTGGAGATATTTTCATGTATTGCACTCATAAAAAACAGATGCAGATGTCTTTTTGCAATTAAATTATATGACTTAATGTATTTGTTCCCCAAAGCTGTGTGTTGTTTGTGGATTTTTCTCAGAATCTTATTTTGGAGACAAAAGTTCTTGTGCAGAAGACGTCAGCGCTGTGAACTTCACGAGTTCTTCTTCATGGGGCTTGAACAGCACATCTATAAGAAAAACACCCCTCTCTTCTGCTAGATCTCTTTGCAAAAGCCATACTCCTCTTACGGGACATTCAGGTAAAATTGATATTCTTACAGGAAATCGTCTTTTATCTGTAACATTATTTTCCTAAATGTACTGTATTTTTAAACATGCTGCAGTGAAAGTACTGAAGTATTTTCAAAACACAAAGCATAATGTTCATTGTTTTAAAATGTGAAAGATACATACCTTAGAGAAAAATACCATTATAAATAACAAATAGATACATCTTTATAAATGCAATCCCATCAGTTATTTTTGTTCTTACAGAAATTTTTGATATAGCTAAAATTGGTGTATTTTTTTCTTAAATAGCCCAACATTTAGTTAGTAAGTGGTTTTCTGTTGTGACTAAATGAAAGAGCCCAAATTATGAATAGTCATATTGCTTAACAGAGTTTCTTTTGAGGCCTGTAATGTACATTGTACATCAGATACCATGATGTAATTTTCAAGGTTCTTGACATTGGTTTTATGGAATTTATACTGCAGTCCTAGAAAAGAAGCACTTCTTAAATTGTTGAAGGTTACTGACAGTAGGGATACAGGGGAACTCATAGGACAGTTGTTCGTTTGTTTGTAATTCTCTAGAAGATAATTTGTTCAGTGTTTCATGGGCAGTCATATTGCGGTGCCTCTCGTGGACAAAGTTGCGTTATGGGGAAGCGGTGGTGTGGTGCACATCTGTATGCTCTGGTACACTGCAGCAACAGGAGTCAAAATCCATTCACAGATTTACCATGTCAGTTCAGCCTTTTGTGACCATGCAGGCTATTTTTGGTGATTCTCTAAACTGAGTAAATTCGGAAGAAATCACTTCAAAAGCACCATTTATCTGTTGCGAGTAAGACTAGTAATTAGATTGCCAGTTGCTACTGAGTTTAATTTTTGTCTTTTTATTGCAAAATTTGAGTAACTTGAACTTTGTAATTTCCTACAGTTTTTCTGATGCACTATTTTCTTTGTGACTGCTTAAAGAGATCAGAATGACCATGACCTTGAAACATAGACAGAGCAGGTTTCTCTGGTCTTACACAATCTGAGGATGAACCAAAATCACATCTTCTGTTTCATCTGATGCGATGTCTGTGTATGTTTGTGTATACCTGTGCACATACGCAGTACTTGTGTTTGTGTATTTGTTTATACCTGTGGTGTTGTATGTGATGTTATCTGGTTAATCTTTCATTATTCTGTTTTGTTGAAGAGAACATGAGGGCATTGCATTTGGAAGAATATTGGTCGTTCACAACCGATTTTTAGAGTGTGGCAAAAACTGAAAAAATAAATACTTCTCAGGTAACATTTGCAGTGTAATTACTATGCTTAATTGAAAAGCACCTACAACTACTTTTCGCTGATGCTAAAAGAATAGTAGTACTGTGGTCGGGTACTGATCATGGGGGAAACCATGGAGTGTCCTGGGTAGCACATGCAGAATAGCAATTATTTTTTTAGTAGGCCTCAGAAGAAACTTATCCATGTGCTGTTGTTGGCATCTTATGGGATTCTTTCTTGGATTAGTTTTGATTCTCTGCATACAAATTGAGCATACCCAGAGGAAAATGACAGGTTTGGTGTATTGCATCTTTTCAACAGGATCATCGTATTGCTTTCAGAGAACAATTTCTCTGTTTATTTTTAAATAACTAACTGCTCTAGCATCTGTGATAAATGGATAAAAGATGGATAAAAGGATGATAGTAAGGTAGAAGGGGAAACATAATCAAGTGCTGGCTACTTTGTTAGTGAGTTTGCTAAAAGAAAAGAGAGTGATGAAGATACCACTGTGTTTGATGAAAGGATTGAAATGGTGTCACAAAAGAAGCAGGATGACTTTTTTTTTCCCCTAGCAAATAAACCAAAACATTCAGATTCTTTGAGAGTGCTGGGATTTGCCAATATTTTTTTTTCTTCCAAATTGCTTACTATACCAATAAATATGTTTACACAGTCAAAATCCAATCTGCTATTCACGTGTTCTTAAAAGCATAAATACAGCTTGTGTTTCTTTTAAGTGCATTTTGAATACTTAAGACTTACTTAAATGATTCCATTATTTAATGATTTTTATAAAATCTTATGTGAATTTGAGAAGGATTTGTTCAGGATCAAGGATTTGTTCAGGTCTGCTAATATAAGGTTTTGATTTGTCTTCCATCTGAAAGTTAAGGTGATTCAGATCACAAACACTTTCCTTGGTTTGTCTGAAGAATTATGCCTAAGTAATATGTAGCAACTACTTTCTATAATGTCATAATTATTCCAGTGTTGCTCAGCAAATTATATTTTAGTGTGCCAAATATGCTTTCTGTTTTTTTATTACCTACTTTAGTGAAATGAAGAGATGATTGTTTTCTGCATTTGAGCTTAATAGAAATTCACATGTGAATATGTATGACTACTGTGTTATTTTTACAGCACATTTTCTCATTCGAGCAGCATGGACACAAAGTCTTGGATAGTGTGAGGAAAAAACAAAACTCAAAACAACAACAGCAACAAATTAGTAATTTCTGCAATAGAATTTAGAAGACTGCAATATCAGGATATGGAAAAAAAAAACAGAGACAATTAAAGAAGCCCTGTATACATTTTTTGTTCATTTGCCTTTCTTCGATTAAAGGAAATAATGATCTCAAAGTTGTATTTCTCAAGTTGAGTGTACCAAAGAAAAAGTGCATGACCCCTGTTTTTCATTTAGTTAAATATCTTGTTTAAGATGTGCTGTTACTTACAACAGTGATTCTCAAATAACGGAGCATAATTATATGTTGGAAATCACGCACTGAAATTAAATGAAAAAGAGACTAAGAAAATGAGGTTTAGGGTGTGCAAAAAGGGAAGTATTAAATGTTAAGAAGCTGTATGATAGTTAATGTTTACAAAGGGAGTCTTGGAGAGATCGCTGGGTATTTGAGGGAGACGATGAGATTAGCTAAGTTCATGATGGTGTTTGGGGAGCTTTGAACCAAACATGTTAAAAATGTTTTCAAGTATGCCATATATGTATATTTCAAAATCTTTTTGTGATTTTAGCATTAAACCAGATGAAACTTAACAAACAATTACAAATTTTGTTTCCCTAATTTGGTGAAAACTCAACCATCTTTATCAGAGTTATACTTTTAATGAAATTTTAAATTACAGTATTTCTCTATAATTCATACATATTTTTTGAACTAGACCTGATAGCATCTTGAATTTGAAGAGACAATTATGTAATAATGACTATATCTATTAATCTTTCTTATTTAGTACACAAAACAGTGTCTCACAAAGTGTATTCACACCTGTTACAGAAATTAATTAATTCTGATCACTTTAGATGAATGCATTCAATCCTCACTTTAATGGAAGAGTACAGGGGCCTTACTTTTGAAAGTGTGCCTTTTCTATATGGTGCAGCAAATAAGGAGTTTAGCAGTCCAGATTGGGAAGAACTGAATATGTGCAACTGTTTTACAGTTACATCCTCATCTGCAGTCTCTGCTCATACCATTGCATCAGTTATTGTAGCTGTAGTAGAAGGGAGAGGACTTGCCAGAGGTGAAGTAGGAATGGCCAGCATTGACTTAAAAAATCCTGAGGTGATACTGTCACAGTTTGCAGACAATACAACCTATGCCAAGGTAAATTTGCATAGATACATTGCTGTATACTTCCCAGGCCACTTACTCAAATTTTGATTTCTAAAAAAGCATATGAGCAATTGGAAATTAAATATTTAGTCCTTAGGAAAAAAAATCTCAAAGAAGAAAGCAAAAAGTTACAGAAAATGTGTAATAGTGAAAATGTTTTAAAGGATACTGTCTTCTGTATACCGTTTGTCAGATTTTAAAAAACTAAGGAGAAAGCATTATGGTAAAGAATAGTGCGTTTGCATTATATGAGAGCTGGATGTCCTGTTGTGATAAGAGCTGAGAAATAGATGGTAGTACAACTTGGAAGTATTTTTATTGGGTAAAACAACTCTGACAGCACAATTATGTAGATACATTTTTCTGAAAGCTTGTTACTGATTTTTAAAGTCGTTTTGTTAAAGCTCACATTATTACTGAGAATAAAAGGAATTTTGCCTGTTGTAGTCTCAGGGTTAAGAATTGTACCATTTTCAGTGGTGCCCAGCAATAGCATGTGAGGCAACAGGGGCACATAGTGAAACACAGGAAGCCCTGTCTGAACATGGGGAAAAGCTCTTCCCTGTGCGGGTAGCAGAGCACTGGAGCAGGTCGCCTGGAGAGGTGGTGCCGTCTCCTTCCTTGGAGACAATTCAGAAGCCGCCGGCCGCGCTCCTGGGCAACGTGCATGAGGGGAACGTGCTGGAGCAGGAGGCTTGGACCAGATGGTCTCCTGATGTCCTTGTCAACCTGACCATTCTGGATTCAGGGGTTATGCCATGAAATTCGTGTTTCCCCAGATGATTTGTGATTCACTATTTTGGCCACTCCCCTTCACCTTTTCTCTCTATCCCCGCTCCTTGTTTTCCTCTCTCTTTACCTCATCTGTTGGGAAAATATGGGTCCTTCTCCCATAATAACCATGGAATATTATTTTGATTATTTATCTCATGCTTTGAAAGAATGGTAAAAATTTATTTATATAAGTTAATTATATTTTACGTATGGTACATATACATTAATATGGAAAGTAGCAGAAGATTTGGTCTTTGTTCACAGTATTGGAACTGATTTAAAATAAAAGAATTTGGTAGCTCTTTTTTTCTGATTTTATAGTGTAAAAATATTTGATGTATATAGGTTTTTTACTGAATGATTTGACCTTTTTTATTTTTTTTACTCAGGTTATCACTAAACTCAAGATTTTAACACCACTAGAAATAATAATGTCAAATACAGCTTGTGATGCAGGGAACACAACAAAGTTGTTCAGTCTGATAACAGAGCATTTCAAGGTAAGCTGTTAATTTTTATTCCATATTTTAGAGCTCATGTTGACCATTGTAATGCAATTGTTCCTTTGGGAGTATTCTACAAGTTCTATAAACTTCAAATGCAGTCAGATTTTGTGTATTTCCTGGCCTATTTTTTACCATGGTAAAGAATAATACAAATGCAGCTCTTAAATCTTTAGAAAAATTCTGACAATTACATAGATAAATTGTTTTCTGATTAAAGTAGAAGGTTTTGATTTTGCAGCATGGAAGTAATTTGAATAATACTGCATCTTAAAAAAGATTAGATTTTTTTTTTCATTTGCTCCTTTTTTGTTCTCTCAACCCAAAAAATAGCCGGGATTAATGTGTCACAGCGTAGAAAGAAGAACACCCGCAGGATGAGAAAGGATGAGCCATATTAAATATATGAAACTTATAAGTTTTAAAGCCTCAGAACTTTTGAAAGATTGTATTACAATACCACTTGTTTCTGTGTTTCCACTGTTGATAACTTCTTTGCATACAACCTGTTATACTTTCTGACCTCTCCCTCCTTTTTCTTGCATAAATTGCTCACACTTGCGCAAATGCACTTACATTAAACTGTGTATTTTTATTTCCTATTGACCGCTAACAGCTTAATAATGATTTCTTGGACTTAAAACTTGGAAGGCAGAAACTACAGTTCCAATGTCAATGTCTATACTAGAAAACAACTCGTCCCTGAAAGTCATCATTTTTAACTGAATCTAGGATTAAATCTAAATTTTGGATTTTAGAGAGTTTTTTTGGCTAGAGATTTTTTCCTTTTTTTTTTTTTAATCTGTTTACCAGGGAGTAACAAAGATTACGGCAGGACTTTGATGATTTGTCTTATGCTAAATTCTAAAAGATTTCTGCAAGACAGATTGCTGAATCAGTGGTAGATTTTATTGGAAGTTTATATTCCTAGGAAAAAAAAAAAGTCTATGTGACCAAAAAAAAAAAAAATCTTGGTGACATTTTCAACTATTTGCTTTTTTCTTCCACCTTCACAGAATGTGAATTTTACAACAGTTCAGAGAAAATACTTCAACGAAACAAAAGGGTTGGAATACATAGAACAGTTGTGTGCATCTGAATTTAGCACCGTTTTCATGGAGGTTCAATCAAAGTATGTTTAAATAAGAAAAAAATCTTTCTGTGTCCAGAAGTTTTTAATGACTTTTTCCATATTTATTATAAACTTATGACTTACTACATTATTTAAGACTGGAGAGATCTGAATAGAGTTGGCTTTTTATTTTGCTGTCCGATGTTTCTAATCCATCTAGCAACTTAAAAAGCCTGTGAAGTGTTCTTGAAATTTCATAATTCTCCACTTTCCCTTTTCGTTCTTCCCTTAAAAGTAATATATACAATTTCTTTTTTTTTTTCATACTGACATGAGTACCTATAGTCCTTATACCACCATCACCTTATGTAGTGATATTCATTGCCCTGACCTTTATTTCAGTTCATGTCTAACCAGTAAATATGTAAATACAGAATATCATTTAAATAGTGCAGGATGCAAGGTGTATGGGGGCTCATATATCCATGAATATTTGATCTGAATGCATGTGCGCTATACTTGGGTAAAGATATACCTTTTTAAAAAAATTTAAATCGCAAACACACTGCATGTTCAGTGCTGTCAATTCCAATGTTGTCCAGCAAGAGTGTGAATGTAATTTCTGAAATGTATTGCATAGTTTTGTGCTACTTAAATAGAACTATTCAACATTCATTAAGGGTTGTTACTCTCTCAGGTACTACTGCCTCGCAGCTGTTGCAGCTTTGCTAAAATATGTTGAATTTATTCAAAATTCAGTGTATGCTCCAAAATCCCTCAAGGTGCGTTTCCAGGGTAGTGAGAAAACAGCAATGATAGATTCATCATCAGCGCAAAATCTTGAACTAGTAACTAATAACAGAGATTCTCGGTAAGAATATTTAAGTTGGGCAAATATCATCTTTAGCTTTTTTTTTTTATATATAAATTTGTTTCACAAAGTTCCAAGATGTGTATGTCGGAAACTGGCCATTATATTGTTTCTGTGTGATGGAACTAAATTCTCATTCACACCTCTATTTTTTTTAATAATTTACCTGGAGAAATGCATTACAATTCAGTGCAAAACTTAGAGCACAGAAAATCTTACAAGTGAACTGAGGAAAGAATTGCTAAATACTAGATATATGATAGCTGCACAGTCAATTTACATTTCTTTTTGCATATCATTCCAATTCCTAAGTGATGCTGAAGCCAAATTTCACATGAAAGAGAACATTTCTGCAAGAAGTTGCTTATGCCAAAGTAATTTCTATAACTGTAGTTATGTCCAATGTTGCATTTCATTGCATGGCAGTTGTCCACAATGAGAACAACACTTGGAGCGCTTCCTTCACCAGGAGTTACTGTCCTTCTAGGCGGAAGAAGTTGCGAAGCTTCCTTCCGCTGTACTTCTACACTTCGGTCACAAAGAGAAAGGCTTGAACTTTCACAATGGTGGCTTTCACCTTTGGAAACCCAAACTTGAAAAGTTGGTTATCACTCTAATGTTAAAAAGAGGAGTCTGTGAATTTCCTTCTTCTTCCAGTACCGTTCTATAGCAACTTTCCACTTGGAGAGGATGTGTCTTCCTTAATTTCCTGTTACTGACTTTTTTTTTTTTCTTTCTCCTCTCTCTCTTTCCTTTTTTTTTAATTTTTTTAAAAAAAGTTATATGTTGTTTGTATATTTGTCAGACCTGCAGAAGAAGTAGGAGGTGATAGTAGTTTATTTCTGCTCATCTGTCATCTAGAATCATAGAATCATAGAATGCTTAAGGTTGGAAGGGGCCTCTAGAGCTCTTCTAGTCCAACCCATGGTGGGTGCACATGCAGGGTCACCTAGAGCACGTGGCACAGGACTGCGTCCAAGCGGGTTTTGAAGAGCTCCAGAGAAGGAGACTCCACAACCTCTCTGGGCAGCCTGTTCCAGTGCTCTGTCACCCTCACTGTTAAAAATTAATTTCCTTAAATTCCTGTGGAACTTTTGGTGCTTCAGTTTGTGGCCATTACCTCTAGTTCTGTCAGTGGCCACCACTGAAAAGAGACC